TGGGTTACATATGGGCCCCAAATGGGTTATATCTGGGCTATGGGCTAAATCAGATGGGCCCCACATGGATCTTGGGTGCAGAATCCGGAGGTTTCCTCAAGGATAGCACATATGGTACCCATATGGGTAAAAAAATATAGGTCCCATATGGGAAACCTATATGCCACCCACATACAATTTAATGTGGGTTCCATGTGGGCCCCAAATGGGTTATATCTGGGTTATGTGGGCTAAATCATATGGGTCCCACATGGAACTTGGGTGCAGAATCCGGAGGTTTCCTCAAGGATTGCACATATGGTACCCATATAGATCTGCATATGGGCACCATATGGATCCCTTATGGGCTTGTTACCTGGGATGCCAAGTAACTGAGCAGATACGGTAGCTGTAGGAATATGTACGCCACATGGGGCCCATGTGCCAAATATCTAGGAAAATGCACGGCCATTTATAGGTTCATTCAACATGGGCCCCACATGCCACATACCTGGGCAGATGATTATGCCCTGGATTCCCCTCTGACCCACACTTAATTATACTTTATTTTTAAGACGTTATACGTAGCTACAGTTATGACATGAATACCATTGCGGTACTTTTTACTTAATAAGTGTGTGCGCATGCTCAGTAGAAATACCAGTTTGAATTAAGCTAGCGATGATCGGACCATCGAACTTAAGCCAATGAACTAGCTGTCTTTGGCAGTTCCGGTGTCCCGTTTCAAGTTTTGAATTCACAAACGAAGCGCCCATTCTAGTGCCGTCGTCTTGTAGCGAGTGTAAAGGAAGGAAGATTCATAGGCTTAAGAAAATTTGCCAAGTCACAGTGAAGTAAAAGTAAGTAATTTATACTTGTGTAGCCTAGGCCTAACTGTTGTCGAATTCCCTAACTATACTACAGCTGTGCTAGGCCTAATTTGCGGCTAAAACCATTCCATTGCGTTCCCTGGGCCTAGGCTAGGCCTATTAGATACGTAGGCCTAGGCCATCTTGTTTAAGCGTATGCTGGCCTAGTTTCTTGAACTAGCGTTGGATCGCCAGATAACTCTCTGGCTAGGGGCATAAGCCAAGGCATATTCTACGTTTTTTGTCTTATTATATATTTCGCCGGGGTATAGGCTAGGCCCTGTCTACCTAACTAATGTCATTGTGTATAGCTAGCTAGCCTAGCCTAGACTTTGTGATGTAACTTAAGTATAGGGGACCTGGTTGGCAAGCCCTTCCCACCCCCAAGCCTAGGGGGCCTAGGCTGTCCATATATGAGTCCACATATACACCAGAACAGAACATAATATCATTGTCAAAATATTGAATTCCAACATGATGGAGTGCATTAAAATTCAAAGCTGTTTTCTGTTTCTTAAGCATAAAATACTACACTTTATTTAATGGAAGTGGATGTATTTACATCGTCGTCGTAAACAAATCAGTCAACGATATATTTACGTAAATGAAACAACGCATGCGCAGTCATACTTTAACAAACTTGCATTTTCAGCACTCGATATTAGCGTGGCCTCCCATGGCCGCGGTGATTCCCCCAAGTTCAGCATGGCACTTTAAATTAATTGATAATTTTGTTTTTTATTTTTTATTAAACGTAATTTAATTTTCTACAACAGCACAGTATGTAGTTTAATCACGAAATAAATTATTAAATCATTGTGTTAAATTTTCAAATAAAAGTGATACTGTATTATGAGCTGGAAATGTTATGTTCATCTTACTCAATCATTTGTTAAATGATTATTTGTAATCACAAAATATACGTAAAATGTACATAAAATAAGAACGAGTATATAAGCTACTAGTACAGTTTTCTATGTAATCCAGATAAATTTTTGTGCAAAAATAGATTTTATTTACTAATTTTATCATTTTTACTGCGCTAAATTCAAAAAAGTTAGGTGCCACTTTTTTCCCAACGGCATCGACCGCCATTTTGAATTTCGAGATGGCTGACGCACCACATAAAACATGGTCATGATTGGTGTCAATGGAAAGGGAATTATACACTGATCATTTATTGTCACTACACCTAAACAACATAATACATATTTACAGCGATATAGACCAATATATAAAGTCTCATGACACAAAAGGTCAAAAAAATCAAACTTACCAAAAGTTGTCGTATTTGGTATCATTTGAAAGCTCTGCCAATGATGAGCTATGCTTTCCAGTATATACATATCAGAACACACTTGACTTAAATACAAGACCTAGGCCTATGCAAGGTTTCCTTGCTAAAACTTAATTACCAGGAATCAAGACGATATTCTTCTAGGCCTACCAGTATTGTTATATGATAGTCAATCATCACAAATTAAATAACACCCTAATGTTTTCATTCAAACAAATTTACCCACGTTGTCACTAACAAAAACAACATTGTTATATAG